TCCCGCCCCCCCGGGGGGGGTCGGGGATGTAGCCGTACGCGATGGTCTTGTCGATGGCGAAGCCGAAGTCGGCCCGGCGGATGTGGCCGACCACCTGGCCGTCCCGCCACACGGCCTCCAGGCCGAACATGGGCACCTTCCTGCAAGGCCAAAGCAGAGCAGCCATCAGGAAAGTCCTGGATGGGCCGGGATTCTCCAAGAGGAAAGGGCCTTGGAAAGATGGTGAGGCCGGACACTGCGTTCCAGCGGGGAACCCAAAGTGCTGCCTCTTGGTGTGTCCCAGGGCCAGCCTGGGCACCCGCCACCCCCAGGGCACGGGCCCATCCTGGGCACTGTCCTGCTGCCCTCACACTCTGGAACTTCCCCATGCCGATCCCCGGCACTGACAAACCCCCTGCAGCCGGATTTGCAAAGCCTCCTGCTATTTTGGCTGAAACGAGATAAACCTACTCACTGTCACACTGTTTCCAACTTCCATTAAACATCCAGCAGGGAATATGAGGTGGGATTTAAATTACAGACATAATTAGAGCATGGAAAATGGCAGCGAGCGTTTGCTACCGAGCTCCGTGCGGGGGGAGCTGCTTCCAAGCGGGTCCGGGCGCTCATCCCTGCGTGGACACAGGTGACAACCACGGGTGTGTGACAGCGCCGGGGCGCAGCGACACTTACTCGTCGGTGGTGAAGCAGACGAGGCGGCGGGGGAGGCCGGCGGCCTTCTGAGCCTCCACGGCCTCCCGGCCCAGGAAGGGGATGTCCGACTTGAGCTTGCAGGTGAAGGCCAAACCCGCCTCGAGCGGGGTGTCATCGGGGCGCAGGTCCGCGTGCCAGTGTCTGTACCCTGCGGAGGACAAGGGGCAAACAGGGGTCTTCCAGCCTGTCCCTGCTCCACAGGGGAGGATCAAGAGACCAAGACATCAACTCTGCCTGTTGGGTAGCCCTGTTGGCCTCCACGCACTTGGTCCAGGACAAAGAGCCCTCAAGAGAAACCCATACTCAGGATGGTCTCAAGGAGCATGGGAGGACTAGTTGCATTTCTGCCATTAGCTGTCAGCCATCCAGCCAGTCCCACTACATTATCCTCAAAACTAGGGGAGAAAAAAACATGCTGGATTCCCTGGCAAAGCAACCGCGGCTGTTGCACGGAAAGCCGGGGACCTTTCTCGATGCTCAGGCTGTCGATGGCTCGGTAGCCGGCGTTGGCGATGCCGTGCCGCGCGCCCGCCTTCATCACCGCTTGGTAGACCCTCACGCAGTCCGCCCGGGGCACGTGCAGCTCCCAGCCCATCTCGCCGACGAAGGACAACCTCATGGCACGGACCTGCGAAAGGAAAAGGGCTAAAATCACTCGGGACGGGCGCCGCGTGGCCCGGGGAGGCTCTGCGGCCGCAGCTCTGCCGCTCGCCGCATGCGGGCATCGCCGGGAGCAAGCAAACTTGCAGAACTTTGTGCAGCGGCCCTAGTGCTGGGAAATGCATTTTCTCTGTTTTCTTTGCTCCTCAGGGTGCATGATGCCAGAGTCACACTGAATTTTATTGTCTCCGGCCACAGCCCACAGCTCCAGCTTTTCTCAAGATCCACGAGGGCAGTGCAACAGGCAGAGCCTTTTCTTGCAGAAATTAAGCATTTGTGCAGCCATGGAGCCGCAGGCTCTGCGGTTACACTGCGGTGCTGCCCCGTCCAGCCGGGCCTCTGTCTCCCTCTGCTGATTCAGCTACAGCAGAAAAAACCCTATAAGCACCCAAAATGTGGGAGACTTGGGTTGCCGAATCAATCCCCGCCAGGGCTTGTCCTGCTGGGCACTTTGGGGCCATCGTGAGTGTGTTGCAAGCAGAATTGAAGGTGTCCCCATGCGGAGGCTCCCGTGGGATGCTCAGCCCTGTATCCCAGCAAGTTGTGCAATAGGGACGCATAGATTTGCGCTGAGACTTCCCCCAAATCGCTGCTCGCTGCCACCAAACTAGCTAGACGAGACCACGCTGAACGCCCTGGAGAAGAACCAGCAGCTCTGAGCAGCGGGTGCCGCGTTTCCCTGGGGAGGCGATTTCCTCGGAGATCTCCTTCCCATCTGCCTGCGTTCCCCAGGAGCACGAACCGGAGGGAAGGCTGCTCCCGGTGCTGGTGTCCCACGATGTCCCGGCAGCGCTGGGACCGCTCTCCCCTGGCAAAGCGCTTGGCACAGCCCCATCCCTGCCCCACATCCCGCAGGGCTCCCCGTGCCATCGCTGTTGCTGTGGGGGGAAGCAGGGCTCCCCCCTGGCTCCCGGGGGAAGGCGAGGATGTTGCCTCCGGAGCCGGTCCGTGCACAGCCTGCTCCTCGGTGCATCCCCACGGATGCAGCACGCACCTACCCACACCGGTGGAAGGACAAGGACGAGCCCCTGGCTCTGCTCCAGCAGCTTCCCCTTCCCTGCCTGCCGGCTCCTGCCTCGTGTCCCGCTGTGCCCTGCTGCCCATGGAAAGCGTCGGGAGCAGCTTTCCCTCCGGTTTGGGGCAGGACCCGGAGTGGGAGACTGAGGGGACGCACCAGTCTGGATGGGGCCGATTCCTGAGCATCTGCTGACAGGGATGCAGGGACCAGGCACTGGGGCCTTGGAGTGACCAGGAACCTTCTAGAACTGCTCCTGGTAGGAAGTGGGGGATTCATCCCCCACAACCACCCGGACACGGGATGCAGGCACAGTGGGCTGGAAGCTCCAGTGTCTTGGAAGAGCTGCTGCAAAGTCTCCTCAATCTTTAACGGCACTAAGAGCCCCTGGCTGTCCTCCAGCTTCAGAGTAGCTCTGCCCCATGGTGCAGCCTGGGGCAAAAAGCATCCTAGGCTAAATGTGGAGTTAGGGAGCCAGGGCAGGGTGATGCAGCATGACGGGAGAGGAGGTGCAAAAGCTCTAGGAAAGAAGAGACTTTGCACCAAAAGACACTACCCAGAGGTGATTCTGCTGGTAGAGGAAGGTCCAGGAGAGGGAAGGCGGGCAGACCTGCAGGGCTCTCCTCCGGAGCGGCCCCAGGGCCCCTGGCAGCTCCAGCTCGGAGCTCCTTCGGGTCGCACGCAGCACCGCGGAGCTGGGAGTTTGGTCCTGGCCTCTGCCGCTGGCCCTCCCTCCCTGCCTGGGTTTTCTGGACTGAAATGGGTCCAGAACTCCTGGCTTTGCCAGCTGAGACACCCCGTGCAGGAGGAGGAAAGCCCAGGGGTACTTTATACCCAAGTGTGTCCTTGCAGGAAATGGTTCTCAGCAAGTCCTGGTGCAGGTGGATTCACAGCAGTGCGCTGGGGATGCTAATCTGATCAGTGCTCACATGCTAGAACGTGTATTAATGAGGAACGAAGGGGAATGACACTCTGCAGGGGCCCTTGGGGCACCAGCAAAACGCATCTCCCCTGCAGAGCTAGAGGATCCATCACTCGCCAAGCAGCAGCATGGGGAGACTGGGGGCCAGCTGCAATCCCAGGTCCCGGAGACACAAGCAGGTCCTGCTGGTTGGGACTTTGGACTTGTTGGACTCCGGCTCCATGGAGCGGGAGGCAGGAAGGGTTAGGAATCAGTCCAGCTCCCGGCCTGCGCGTTGCTTTTGCGCCCGCTAACACGTCATGGAAACAGCACGCCGTGTTCGGGAGGATGGAGACGTGTTGCGACAAGCTGTAGCCTGCGCCGAGCCTTGAGTCACCGCGAACAGCCCTACGGAGCAGCACGAGCAGCATGACAGCCCCGTGTGACTGTGTGCAGGAGAAGCTGTCAGCGCCACGCGGCCGAGCCAGCTCCAAGGAGCAGCGTTCAACTGCAGCAATCTAGATTATGAGCATGAAATATCCACGGGGTGCAGCCAGGAGCAGCTCTGCAGCCTGCCCTGGTGTTGGGCACCTTCATCTCCAGGGATGTGTCCAGGTGCAAGAACCTCCTAGAGCTTTGGGGAGCCTTTCTGGGAGATAGAGCCTTCAAAAGCAATGCTGGCCCTTAATGAATCCCAAAATCCTAGAGCTTGCCTGCCTCTGCCAGGAAAACGTGTCAGAACATTGAATAAGAAGAAATAAGAACAATAAAGAACATTTCCTACCCTCTTCTAATTAACAGTAAGGAGGAGAATTGACTTATCCTCTCTGCGTGTGATTTGCCATTGCTCTAAAGCTGACGCACCATCTGTGTGTGCCCTTCCAGCCAAACCTAGCCCATAGTTCTACACAAGATCATGGTCCATGGACTTAAAAAAGTGGTTTCCAGACAGGAAGAGATCCCATAGCCACCAGGATGAGCCTGAAACACTCAGTGGCTCTGTCTTGGGACAGCGCTACCTGTGCTGAGTGGGGTTGCTTTGGGATGTCTGGTCTCCAGACCTGGAGCTGGTCTCCACTGTGGTCCCCTCTGCAACAAGCGCAACGACTGACAGCTACAGCCGCAAGCCAGAACAGGCAGGGGTAAGAACAGGCGGAGAACAAGAAATCAGGTGCTCAAGCTGAGTTTAAGGCAGCTTTTAAGACGCTTCCCAACAAAAGGCACAGGAGGAGCCGGGGGCCGCGGCACAATAACACCAGGATTTATCCTGAGCTGCTCAAGGCAGCCAGCCCTGCGGCGCCCAGGGAGAGCCGGAAAACCGACTCAGGAACACCAGGGATACGGGAAAGCTTTTCACTTTGCACAGTGTGTCACCTTTTTAGGGAATAACGAGGGACGGGAACGCTACCGTGTTCATCCCAGCAGGAGATGTTCCAGGATCGACAGTCAGCTCCGCTGTTCCCTAATCCTGCCCGGGACCGAGCGGGCAGCTAAATGCACTTCACTTCCAAGAGCAAGTTCCTCTGGAGAGAAGTTTCCCCTCAAATTAGAGCCACTCAGAGGACCGAACACCCAGCAGTCGTGATGAGGCAGATCGGTGCATCACAGATCACGTATACGCTCTAAAAACGCACATAAAGACTATACATAAAGTTATGCACAGTCACAGATCAGGGGATGCACCCACGTGTGCACAGCCCAATCCCTGGTGTCAGTCACATGGAAAAGGACTGGCAAAACCCTGAGTTGGAGGGTGCCAACTCAGCCATTCCCACAGGATTTTGGCCATCCTGAGCCAAATTCTCTTAGGAGCAGGTATTTCCATTAGATTTCAAGTGGAGTTATAAAACAGCATCAATTCCTGAGCCTTTGAGCAGCAATTCAAAAGCATTTTAAGTATATTAGAAAATGAAAACCTGAACTTTACCCTGTATCCAGCAGTGAGATTCAAATGGGTTTCTTTCTCTGATACTTCACACAAAGTGATATGCTATATATACACTCACAAACCAACCAGTAGTTTCCAGAGTCATTAGCTCTGCTGGAATTCTCCTTTTACTTTAGCTGATTCTGTTCCGCTACTGAGTTAATGCAGGAAAACCGACCAAGAGCTTTTTAAAGATGCTGGCTTCAGCTTAATCCCAGAGAAAGGCATTGGGATGACATCCGGATGAGGAACTCGGCCGAGAGCCTGGTGCTCTGCAACGGCAGGAGCAACTTTCTCCATTTTCCAAAATTTTTTTGGGGTTCATCTCCCAAGGTTTTCCTGCTAAGATCCCGGGTGCCGACTGGAAAACAAGCACGGTTTGGACACAAGACAAGGTGTTGGGAACCAACTAAGCCTGGCTGCCCATCTGGTCCCGCTCCGGCCATGCCCTCTGCCAAAACCCCCTCCGGCCTCCGCTTGGTCCGCAGGGAGCAGGAGAGGGAGACCCTGCATGGGGAGATGCTCTAATCCTTCCAGACAGCATTTGCACAGTATTAAAATTGCAGAAATAGTGAAAGGAACTGATCGAAAAATTCTCCTCCATGCAGACCCGGGCTATCTCTGAGGATAGCAGGCGACCAGTTTGAACTAAGTACTATGAAATACTACAATAAAGCTCTGTAGAAGAGCTCATTCCTTTCACTGAACTTTTGTTGGGGGAAAGAAAGAAAATCCTGTACTTTGCAGCTTAGGATCTGTTTCATATAAACACATTCGCTTTTTGCTTTATATTGGAATAAAATGGCCCGTCTTACAAAAAAAAAAATCCCCAAATTCACCTTAATTTTCCTCTCCGTCTCAACTCAGGCATTTGCAATTCAACGTGGAAAGGCCAGAGAGCTTTTCTCTGACAGTCAGGGCATTTACACTTGAAAAAAGCCATAACAC